TATGCCCTGCTTCCATCAGAACTCCTTTCATTCTTCAGCTGGATGGATGGCTGAGAAGTGGAAAATCATAGCTCTAGAAAGTCTGGCTGAGAGGGAATGGAGAACTTGAAATCTGGGCTTAGCTTCCAAAACAATGTTACCAACTCAGAGAGAAAAGAGGTTGTGTACTTCTCCTTGTTATTTCACAATCACACTTTCCTATAAAAATAAATGAGAATGATGTAAATCTCCTCTATTTTTCTATGTCAACATTTTCCATGCAACCCTGTTTTTGAAGGGTGGCAGCTGCTACAATGCATGATCTTTGGTGGAATGTAGGTGTAGTCTCAGCAATCAGGAAAAACCAGGAGTTCTGGACAGCTCCCCTCCCCATGTTTTTTATTCCAGAGATTGTGGGGAGTTTGTGTTGCTTTTTACAGAGGTATTTAATTTATGCAAGGGTTACACTGCAGATGTCATCAGGAATATGTGTGTAAAAAATATCAAGATGGTGGCCACCACTGCACATAAAAATGAATGTTTGTAGCTGCCATCTTGACTCCTTTGACCTGACCATCACAGTTGCCCAATTTTATAGGAAAATGTGCTGCTGGTTTTTAGCAACTCTTCTGCTAAAAAAATACTGTGAGGTTGTAGGGAACTTCCAGACCCATGCAAAAGAATGAGAGCTACCTTGATGTTGTTCCTCTTTTCAAAATCTCTTCCAGTATTTTTCTCATTATTTTGATTCTCTTTTTCGCAGGTGAGATCTTGTATATACAAAACTACTAAAGTTCTTAACCAATCATAAACCTTTGGTGTCTCAGGTCCATACTTGTTCAGATGTGTGTTCCTTCACTTTTTAATTATTCTAATGCAAATCTTCTTCCCAATAAGAGATTCAGCATCAAGAATATCTACATTCTGCTATATAAGCGAAAGCAGAGGTGGGCTTCAGCAGGTTCTGACCAGTTCTGGAGAACCGGTGGTGGAAATTTTGAGTAGGTTGGAGAACCGGTAGTAAAATTCTGACTGGCCCTGCCCCCATCTATTCTCTGCCTCCCAAGTCCCAGCTGATCGGGAGGAAATGGGGATTTTGCAGTAACCTTCTCCTGGAGTGAGGAGGGAATGGAGATTTTACAGTATCCTTCCCCTGCCACGCCCACCAAGCCACACCCACAGAACCGGTAGTAAAAAATTTTGAAACCCACCACTGAAAAGCACACCAGGAAGCAACAAATAAAACATCTCACTCTCATGCTTCCTGTCTTTGTAGAGTTACCTGCCTATCTCATGGATCATGTGGATAGTTTTTATCTTTTTCAAGATCTAAATATGTAACTGGTTGGACTCAGTTTACAGGATATATTTATTTTGATGCTGTTTGTTAGATATCTTCTCAGATGGCCAGTTTGACGTGGGAATACATTGCATTTCTCACTGTCAATCAGAACTGTTAACATTTGATATGGAAAATAATAATGTACTATTATGGTGATGTACAAAAAAGACACATCTAACTGATGGGATTAAATCACCTCTATACATATAGTCTTATAAAATAATCCACCCCAAAGCCTTCGGCAGGGGGCCCAAAGCTTCCTTCTCAGAAAATCACTTTCAGACTATAAAGGGTAGAAGATGTTAAATACTGTGAGTAATTGTGAAGTAGTCTCTATTGAACTCCATTCTAATAATGTTATTTAAATGGTAAATTTAAATCTACCTTTAAAAAAAAAAATCCTGAATGTGGGAGGGTGGCTCCTGACATGCATCCGATTCCCCAGAGCACATGCTTCAGTTTGAAATCTTTGGCAGCTCTTGTGGCAACTTTACCATCTGGCCATTCTTCCCTTTTCAGTCTGAGGGGGCTTGGACAAGCACCATCTTTGGCTCAACAACTTCTATTGTTATAAGGCAATCAGCACAGCTGTAGAATAAGTCCTAAAAGCCATGCGAATGCCCTTTGGCCTTTTCAACTAATCACAAAGAAGCAAATTGTTGACTGGATTCTTTCTTGAAATAAGAGGAGATACACTAGAGAATCAGTAAGTTTTTCCTTTGTCTGACCTTGGTTTACTTGTTTTCCTGATTTGTTGTTCTTGAACATTTTTAATGCCAAATAATATTTGCTTTAGGCATAAATTAATGTGATGGTAATCAGTGTTTTACTGTTGATCCTGAAAATGTACAGGCAGAGGGCCCTGCTAGGGTTCTCATCAGTGCCTCTCCTCAGTCTTCTTAGCTTGATTTTTTTGAACAAGCAGCCAAGGACCAAAACTCTCCTTTCAGTCAGAACCAGTGGTGGATTTCTACCAGTTTGGGAGAACCGGTAGTGGCGGCAGTGGGAAGCTCCGCCCACCCACCTGTCATCATGGACGCTCTGTGCATGCGCACAAGGTTCTGCGCATGCGCAGAAGTGCCAAAATGCTGTGTGGGAGCAAAGCAAGCGTGCACACATGCGTGCTCACAGTTCTGAACCTGTAGCGGTGGTAAGTGAAACCCACTACTGTTCAGAACCCTGAAAATGTGGCCCTGCTTCCTTATAGAAGGTGAGTCTTGATGTGTGGACAAAGCTGGCAATTGTAAAATCTCATTCAGGAGATAGAGACATTGCTTATTTTTCAGACCACATGAAATCTGAATTTGGAATGACGCAGTTCATAGAAAAGGGGAATTTCAAGCCATGGGATATTTTCCAATATTATAAGCTTCAGAATTACTTGCCAGGGCTAGGACAGCTGTGCCTCCTAGCAATTAATAATGTAGAAAACACCTGGAAACTATTGTTGCCTATCCCTGAGTAGCTAAAATCCTACAATTAACACATCCCTATGTGGCATAGCCAAACAGTAGCAATAACTTTACATTCGATAGAAAAATCCTATTTTAATCTTCTTGTAACAAACCTAAGGGCTGCAATATTCACAGTTGAGAATTTGGACTATCTCATGGAAAATAATTAAATACTAAAGTTCCTATGATTAAATTTAATTAGAACTTCTGGAAAATATGCTTCTTGACTACCAAATGTTAAATTAACATAGAACTAGCTCAGGGCAGAGGGCAGAGTTTGACTTTCCATAAAACATATTCCAGGCATTTCCAGTTAAGCATGAAGCCTTGCTGAATTGGAAGTTGCAAAAATATTAGGGTAAATGGACCAGTGGTTTGACTCAGAAAGAGGTCTCACATATTGTACTAAGGTATAAAATTACTGTTTAAATCATGGTGTAATGCTGTCATTATGGTCTACAAACCATCAGTTGGGGTTTGACATAGGTGAACCTAACCAAGTGTTTTAATCAACAATCCTGAGTGAAAGAAATCCTTAGCATAATTCATACTACATGCTAGTTTGCCTTAGTGTTGTCTGCAAACCCCATCGCCTATGGTGGATTAACCATGGTTTAGCAGGATGGGTGAGCCCATCAAGGGTTATGGCATGTTGTATAAATCTTTTAAATAGTTTGCACATGTTAAGCAAACTTTGACATATCATTTTGTACAAATAAACTGTGGTGCTTTGAATAGGTTTGAATTACGAAAGTACTGTATTCAAGTCAAAACCACAAAAAAATGCAGTCATGGCAACAAAAGATGGTTTAAAATCAGGGATGGTCCTTTTGATGACTGTTTTTAACAAACCCTCCACTGCACACAGATCACACCACAGATCAGTCTCTATTCCCTTTACCCTAAACCAATGTTTTCAAACTTCACAACTTTAAGATTGTGGACTTCAGCTCCCAGAATTCCTCAACCATCATGCTTAGAATCTCCAAATTTGAAAGACACTTATGTAAATTAAGACTGAAAGCTCCCTGGGATCCCCAAATTCAGCTTTTTCCTAACGTTTAGTGGCTTCTGTAGGATAATGCTAGATTCACATTTCCAAATCACTAAGCCATGTTGGTTTTTGGTTTGAATTTACTTGTGCTAATCTCAACTCATTTAATAAACTCTGTTTAAGCAAATCATGGCTTAATAGGAAGTAATCATCCAGCTTGTAGCGGAGGCATGTTTTCACATACAGCTAGCACAGTATGTCATGGAAAAGGAAAAGGTGAGAATCAATGAGAATCATCTAATACTACAGAACTGTAGGACAAATTGAAGGAGGAGTTTAAAGCAAACTATGGCTAATCTCAAAAAGCTGGGTAAAACCAGACCAGACTACAACACAGATCAGGAATCCTGAGGCCTATGGATTACTAGAAGATTCTTTTTTAATGAAAGCAGTGCTAAACCACTTCCACATTCTCACAAGTAATGTGCAAGGTTGTGTGTCAAGCATGACCAAAAAGAGATTTAGCTGTACACAAACGAAACCAAACCCCCTTCCCCTTTTCTTTACAAGAAAAGATGACAAGTTTTGCAGATTTGGAAAAAAACAAACCAACCAGGGCATTATTCAAAAGTGTCATCTATTCAAAGTAACTTTATTATGCAGTGCTGTGGCACCAGATGTTTCCCCCCCACCCCCAAAATCCAGGCAAATTTACATTCTGAAATATGTTTATGTGAAAAGTTCAGAGCAAAGCATGTTAAGGGGGTCTCCCTCATTTTTTTTTCTCCTTAGCCCACTGTGGAGGTAAACCCGGGCTTTCTTATCCCAGGATATTATTTGGCTCTGGCACACGCGTGAATCATTCTCCCACTTTAAGAGCCAGCATTCAGACAATACCGGGGGGGGGGGGGAAAGTACTGTAAAGGCAAGAAGAGTGAAGAGCTGTGAGGAAAGCCGAAGTGGACGGGTTCACGGGGTGTGGGGTGTGGGGGAGGGAATGCGCATCGCCAATCAGCCTCCCTGAGAAGGCCACCTCTCGCCCAGCAGCATTTGGGAAGAGGATGGGACGAACATGGATGTGGAAGCCCCCACCAAGGGAGCCGGCCAAGCCCTCTTTTACCCGCCTCCCCGCTTTGCAACGCCCGCCCTCCGGGGGAATGCCCGCCCGGAGTTACCTTGACGGCTTTCCCTTCGGCTCCTCCCCTTCTCGCTAAACGCCGCACGTGGGGCCGGGCAAGCCGGGCGAAAGAGAAGGTGTGTGCCTGCCTAGCTGGCTGGCTGGGGCTCTGCGGCCCCGTGATTGCTGCTGCCCGCGAGAGGGATGTGCCTTTAAAGCCCCGCAGCCGGCGCCGACGAGGATGGCCGCTTCTCTGCCCGGTTTGGAGAGCCAGGCGGGCGGGGTGGCAGCCGAGCGTCGAAGACTCTGCCCAGCGAGGAGCGAGGGAGGGAGCAGCGTGGGAGAAATCGCCTGGGTGACTCCGCCGGCTCCGGGGATCTCGGCCCAGCTCGCCCGAGAGGACAGGTAAGCCTTTTCCGTTGCAAGGCAAAGGGAGGAAGAGGAGGGAAAGAAGAAGGCCGGGGGTCTGCCAAGCATGTCGGAGGAGAGCTGGATAATCCAATGAATCCTCCATGTTCAGAGACAGTGTACCTCAGGGTAAAAATTGTAGAGGGGAATGGGAAACGCTGCAAGGACCAAGCTTTCCCTAAAGAGGATACTCACCAGGTTGCTTTGGAGGGTTTTAGTGGGGCGGGGCAGTTCCAAGAGGCGCTAGTTCTGGGCCAAAGGTTTGGATGGGGACCATCCCAGCTCTCTATTGGAAGTGATCAGAGGTGTGTTTTTATAAAATAAAAGGGTATCCTCTTTTTAAGCAAGGCAACAAAACTGTCCGAAGAGTTTTAGGATAGTTCAGTACTTTTGGATTTGCCCGCACACTTCATATGCTGAGTGAAAGGAGAAAGAATGGCATAGCCAGGGGTTGCAATGAAAAGAAAGTGGGTGAAGGCTTGAATGAGGATTTTGCCCCCTGGGCTTGCAGAAGCTTAAAGGTTGATGCTCCTGTTGAAGGCAACTCTGATGAGAAACATCTCTCTCTCTTTCCCTCCCTCCCTCCCTCTGCACACACAGAAACACATACCCAGCAGAGAAAACTTCACACATGCCAAGTCCCCTCCCCCCTCCTCCTCATCCACCCTTACAACAAGAATCCAACTCCAAAAGGAAATCCCTCAGGTCACTCTGTTTCAAACAGTGGTTTTTTTCTAGGTGGCCAGTTATATACTGGGGTTGGTCTTCAGTATTGCCACATTATAACCAAATCCCCAACTTGGTTGAGAATGATGGGAGCTGAAATCAGATGCATCTGGAAGGTGCCAGCTAGGAAAAGCTGAAATAGATGATGGAAATGTAATGCTGAAAAAGGTTTTAGTGCTTCTGTGCAATCGGTAGAAGATTATACAAAAGAGAGTGTTATAATTTTTTTTTTAATTATAGGTTTTTCAAGGACCTATAAATATATATATTTTAACCATTTACACATATAAGGTGGGTCATGAACATGTTGTTGCCATGGTCTCTGGATTTAAAAAAAACCCTAATTTGACATAATTGAGAGCTCTGTTTGCTATAACCAAGACTTTTATGAACAGGAAATAATTGGCAGAATTTGTAAATGAGAACTCTTGGAGTGAATTGAAATGCCACTATTCCATTTATAACTTTATTATGATTTATCAGAATGATGCATATAGGTGCTGCATTTTTGATCCTGCTAGTGGATTGTTAAACAATTTTTTAAAAAAAACCTCAACAAAATGTATATTTGTACAAAATGTTAGGATTATTAATACCTAAATATGAGAAAATAGCTTGAATATTTCTGCTGCATTATGAAAATTCCTTTAAAGGAAATTTCTTATTCAGAGCATTCAAGGAGGTTCTTTGGATAGTGCAAAATGTATGTTGTTATCTAGAAACACTGTCTACATAAGTGAAGCTAATTAATAACCATGAAGTAGAATCAAGACAGTATTTATAGTGCTGATACCGTATTTCCCCGAAAACAAGACCCTGTCTTATATTTTTTTGAACCCTGAAATAAGCGCTTGGCCTTATTGCCATGCGCTCAAAAGCCCAATTGGGCTTATTATCAGGGGATGTCTTATTTTGGGGGGAAACAGGGTAGTACCCAGTGCTAATATGTGTAGATAATTTGTTCACTTTTCTAAAATCTTCATTGTAAAGAAATCTAGATTACTAAAAATGACTTTTGAAATATAGTATAAGTTTGAATTGTGCCAACATTGTTGATCTTTCATATTAAGATTGACTCTGCATTTAATATATACTCCTATAGCTTTAAATCCCACTGAATTTAAATGGATTTACTCAAGTGAACCTAGACAGATTGCAATTGAAGGCCTTATGTGAACCATGGTGTGATTCACCTCTAAGTAAGAATTTATGAGAACAAGCAGCATAGTTGTGATCTTAATAAGTCAGTTGTCTGGAAGAAGGGAAAAAAAAGCTTTCATCCAATTTATTATGTAATTTTTTTTAAGAATTGAGGAATACGGCTACAAGACAAGATCAATAATTATTTCCCACATAATAAAAGAACGTTACCAGAAATCATTCCTGTTCAAAATGTGCTTTAACAATGGGGAGAATGGAGCAGCAGTATTGGTTTAGTTTAGGAATATTTAATTTCAAGTTTCCTTATGAAGTCTGTGCACTTCCACATGTTGCAGTTTTTGCATGTATAAACTACTTGTAATTTTGAACTGAATATAGATAATTATGTTTATATGAACAATACATGATCTCTCTTCAATATAGGACAAAAAAGGCAGAGTTTAATATGCCAGAAATCCCATCCATACCAAATCCTTTTCCTGAACTTTGTATCTCTCCATTTACATCAGTTTTGTCAGCCAGCCTGTTGCCTAAGGCAAATCCCAGGATAAAACAGGTAAGCATTTTTTTTAAAAAAAAATTCTGATAGCCCAACTATGAAGAAAAACATGTTTATTCTTTGCAGTTTCCATCAGATTCAGTGCTTTTACCTCAAAACCTTCCAACAGTGTTTTGTTGAATTAAACCTAGGATTTTCTCCTACTGATTCCTTTTATTGTCAGCTTTTTCGAAATAGAATCCTTTATGTTACTGATCTAGGAATGTTAATTCTATAACCATATTCAGACATTTTGTTTATCATAAACATGGACACCCAAGCTGGAGTTCATATTGTTGCACCAAATTATTCAAAGTAAATGTTCAAGGCCTTGGCTTTTTCACACTTGAAAAACTGGAGATAAAGCTGTGCTCTACCCTATGTTTGGCCTAACCTTTATTAATGTATATGAATACAAGGCACATTGAAATGATCCAAAATATGATTATATATGTGACAAGGGCAATTGAAATCAAATACTTCTACTACAAGATCAATTTGCAGGTGGAGAAGGGAGATTGGTAAATATTAATTCAAATCCTGGATTTAATTTTTTTTGGAAAGTGTTTTATGAACAGGTTTTTTTTTGACAAACCGTACTCAATAGTTTTTTATTAAGTTATAAGGTATTATAAAATACAAAAGCAAATAAGAGGACAGTGAGGGAGAAGGGAAAAGGGGAAAGAAAAGTGAGAAAGGATAGGGGAAGAAAAAGAAACATTGACTTCTGACTTTCTCTGTTAAAGTAGAATAAGGCATTAACAACAAATCACAACTTTTAGTTTTACCATAATAATATGAAGATCTATAAAGATCTACCAATCTAATCTGTAGAACCCAAAATCAACAGTTCTGGACTAAACATAACAACCATGTGATAAAAGAAGAAACCTGTAGACCAACATAGGTTCAATCCCTGATATTTTCAATTTAGGATGGAAAAAGTCCTGTTGAATTGAATTGTCGAATTTTTTGAGTGTGTTGCCAGTCAGTGTTGACAGTATGGGGCCAAATGAATGAGCCGTCTAATTTGGGATAAGCAGTCCCCTAAATTTCAGACCCTCTTAAGTGTTGGATGCGGTTTTAAAAAATGGGAGGCAAGAATGGTCTGTCCTGGAAGGAAGGATGTATGGAATAAAATCCACCTGAATTTGGGAACTTTTGTAAGGTACTGCATCTGTAGCATAATCCTTTGTATGCTTACCTAGAGTGCTAGAGCTTAATAACTAAGACTTTGCTCACATCTTATAAAAATGCAGTGCATGGGATTCCAGTGAATGCATTGAACAGGGGAGTGTCCTATATAAACTGGCTCCCATGGATTTGGATGCAAGTTTGTGATTCTGCTTTGTACAGTCACAAAACTAGGAAAGAAATACTGTATGCAACTTTGATTTGAGCAATGACAATTTGGAAGCTATACTTGTCTTCTGGCATACTTAGCATCAAAACAGCCATGGGAACTGTATCATCTTTTGCTTATTCAGTAAATACTTCCCTAACTAAACTCTGTGTATGACTCATGTAAAGGACTACAGCTTGCACATATCCACATACATAGAATCTGGAATTTTTGAATCATTGGGGATACCTAGGAGAGAGTAGCCTGCTTCTAAGATTCTCTCTGACTTAACATGGCCTTCAGGAACCAAAGTATCAATTTAGCAGTGATTCCCATAGCTGTGTTTCATGTACGAATGCTAGTTGTTTAGTTTTATCGTTGAGTATAAAAATATAAATTAGTGTTTGATGGATAATCTTATTAAAATTTAAAGGCTTTGAGATAGAAAAACATTATAATAAATGAAAGGATTTATTTCTTTCCATTTGTCAAAAAATGGTATAGAGTTTCCTGCTTGAGCAGGGGATTGGACTAGAAGACCTCCAAGATCCCTTCCAACTCTGATATTCTGTTATTCTATTCTGATTATATTTGTGTTGATGTGTCACTTATTTGGGAAACACAAGAAATTTAAATTGAATAAATGGAATGAAAATGTACACTGGTGTGATGAATCTTGTTTTGGTCAAAGATAAGCTAGAAATGACTTCTCTACAAAAATAGTTCAAGGCAACTCAACTCTGTTAGCTTCCTTGAACGTGATTGGAAGGGGCCAAATAAAATTCAAGGGTATTTGAAGCCCAGGGACATTTTAATCTTTTGCTACATTTTTTCGGTATTTATCTGATTCTAGATATTCACAGTTTGTAAATAACTTGACTGCACTAGGCAAAATAAATCTGTTTCTTGTAGGAACACTGGTAATCAAACTTCAGCACTACTGTTATGAGAATTAGAAGGGAGCCATATAACAGACATCTTACTGTAGATTTTATTCCAAGGCAGACTGTTTCTTTTTTTTAACCTTGGAATTAATAGAAAATGACTTGCATAATATTGACAAAAAAACCTATAAATGCCCATGAAATGACCAGGACTCCAATTCAATTCAAAGCAGATTTTAGCTGCATGACAGTTCCTGACCAACCATGTCTGATCTCTCTCAACAGCTACTTAGGTATTCTGGGCTTTGCTTGCAATATGAAAGAGCAATTGCTGCTCCACTGGCGGCACTTGAATGTCTCTGGAAAGCTCTGAGGAACATATAGGTTCTTTTTACAGTAACTCTCACCAAGGTTTCTTGCCTAGTCTACTCCAATTCTCAAAGTGATGCTTCCTCAGATGTGTTTGGCCAAAGGCAATTCCAACCCCACTGCAGACCTCATCCCTGCAGGAGTTGGGTATAAAGGAAGTGGAATTGGAGTCCATATGTCTATCTTTCCTCCATGATTTCTATTTCTTAAACTTGACAGGGAGGGTGGCCCTTTTATGAAGCTACTGCTTTAAAAAAAATTATAGGAGCGCTAACAAGAACTTTTTAAAATCCCTGCTGGACAAGGGGATTTTCATGATCTATTTCACCTTCACCCCCCTTTTTATCTTTACATTTTGTCCTTTGTCATGGGAAAGTGATATTTAGCAGAACCTCAATTTGCTTAATTTGAATGTAGTCAATATTTAGCATTGTTACCTTGTTACCTGAAAGTACAGAGAGACAGCGATGCTGCCCCGTATCATGAGTAGAATTTAGTTGTATGTAGACACCCCAAACCAAGCCTAATAATGTCTGTATCATATGTAAACTATGTAGAGCTGGTTGTTAAGTGTTCGTATCTGCATATTTTAAAATAATACATTATAACAGAGGAATCTTGACTATTATTAATTTTAAGAGGTAAGTTAGCGTATCTTTTTTTTTTAGTTGCCTTAGAACTGCAGCAAGAGATTTGCTGGTTATCATTGAATAGCTGCAGAGTAAAAGAAAAAAAAAGGTTGAATTTCAGCAATATTTTGCAAAGTATTTTTTTCCTGTGGTGCGGTAAGCATACAAAACACAAACACATGCATTGTATGTTAAAAAAGTAGGACATACCTACTTCTGAAATTGGGAATAAGTAGCTCAAAGAACCATTAAAAATCATATTACGTTTTGGAAAGAGTGTTTAGGGCAAGAGTTTCCAATAACATCCTGACGATCCCTTTGCTTGCAGAAAAAATTAGTTTTCAGGTTATGGTGATATCATATACAGCTAGTATAGATGTGAAATCTTTACCTTAGTAAATCTTTTTCCCTTTGATTTTATAATCATTGTAATGTGGAAGAGGAGAACAAACTTGAAGTTGGGTTCATGCATTGCACTAAGATTAGTGTATTATGTGAACCTCACAAGTTGGTTGAGAAACCATGGTTTGTATTACAAATATATCATATGAATCTAGTCAGTTGCAGTTTATATCGTAAGTTGAAGTTTAGCAAATCATGGCTTTATACATTGTAGGGCCCTGTGTTTTGACTGTATCATTAGGTGGGAGTGTTGAAGGAAGAGAATGCATATTGTGCTATGTAGGTACTATACAATTGTGGAATTCACTGTGATTTACAGTAATATCCTGTATTTGTACTTTAGGATTCTATTATGATAGGAAATACCTATGCATGTCAGGCAGCTTTTTTTCATATATTCCTCCAAAAATGTGTGAGGCAGAGGTGATAAAGACATAATATCTATGATATATGTATAGTTTTCTTCTCTTTCTTCACACCACTGCAATTACAAAGAGAATTGCCTGAAAAGGGGGATGTTCTTGTACAGTTTTTTTTTCACTTGAAAGGCTCCTACAGACTCCTGTTTTCATTTAACTAAATGTAGTAAATAATTTATATTCCTGTTTCTATGTTTGTGATGGTTGAGTATATATAGCCATTCTTTACATATTTATGTGTTATATTTTTAATAGAAAGATTCTACCAAGCGACCTTGTCAGTAGCTGTTTTTGCTTTTAGATTATCGTGAGTATACCATTCCAGAGCTTCCAGAATTAAAATATTTATTTCATTTCATTTACTGCCATTTATTTCAAGAAAGAAGGGATTGCTGGTGGGATCACCCCATTAGCGAGGTCACTACAGTTGACTCCCAAATCATTAAGCCTGCCAAACTAATCCGCCTAGAATAGAAAAGTCATGCCACAAAGACAACTCAGGTGCATATAATATACTCTGGATTGGATTGATTCAGTTTAGGGCATGTCTGTTCCACTTTTAGTAGGTGAAATGCAATCCCAATAACAACTGATGAATGAAGCAAAAATAATAACCGGGACAAGTTGCATCCTGCACTCTCACAAAAAGCTACTCTTCATGGCTCATCAATCAGTTGTGCCTTTTTACAGCATATTCCATTTTGTTCTCTTTCTGAGAGATGGTCTTTCATCCTCAAATCTGCCAATTTATGACCCATGTTTGAAAAACAGCCTTGCCATTCTTATGTACTACAGAGCCTAAATAAGAATGCGGCTGGGCATACATGGTATTTGTTTCTGTTACCACTGAATTAGAAAGTTATGTATGTGTAAACATAGGCAGATTTCTCTGACCTGTTAACCCCAAACTATTTTCAAAAACAATGAAAATTAATTTTCTTTTCTTCCTTCACCCAAGAAGTTCAGTGCATAA